ACCTCCAGCCCCTGCCACAACCTTGGCGGCTTCGGCATGGCACCCAGCCCAAGGCACCCCGTGCTCACAGGGGAGAGCAGCTCACACAGACACAGGGCCCTTAGGCACCGTTGCTGTCACCAGAGCAGGGTGGGCATCAGCCCTGAACCGACAGGGAGCCCGGGACCAGAGCGGGATGCCCAGAGATGGTGACAGGCTTTCTCCCAGCTTCTCTGGGCCACGGGACCAGGCGCAGGATAAGACATTTTGAGGGAGGAGCGACTGGCCACACAACAGGTCTGCACTGCCAGGAGCTGTGTCACTTCCACAACCTCCAGCAGCATCATCAGGACCACTGACACCCACGCACAGCAGACAGTAACGGTCAACCCAGAGCACCCAACCATGGCACCCTGTGGGGCCCTGGAAGCCGATCAGCACCGCTGTCCTGGGCACCACAGTAATAGACAGCCTCGTCTATTGACTGGCTTGGACCCCGGTGATGGTTAACGTGCCTGTGGAGCCAGACATTGATCAGGAGAATGGTGAAGAGATGCCCGAGGGTCTCTGGTTGCTCTCATAGATCACGGTGACAGTGCCACTGCCAGGGATCTTCTGCTGGTACCAGCCAACACCACTGCTGCTGCTAAACCCGGAGCAGGTAATCTGGGCAGTTTCTCCCAGGTTTGCTGACACTGAAGGTGGCTGAGTCAGCACTGCCTGGATCAGGGAACCTGCAGAGGGAGAGGAGAGAGCAGACAGTGCCCCAGAATCACAGCCCTCCCCAGGCAGCGGAACAGGGAATGCCATAAAATCACAGAAGAGTGGACACAAGCACTGTCATGGTAAATCTGGGAGCAGAGCCCAGCCCAATGCATCACAGCACATAGGCAGGTCTGCCCGACAGGGAACCTGCAGAGGGAGAGGAGAGAGCAGACAGTGCCCCAGAATCACAGCCCTCCCCAGGCAGCGGAACAGGGAATGCCATAAAATCACAGAAGAGTGGACACAAGCACTGTCATGGTAAATCTGGGAGCAGAGCCCAGCCCAATGCATCACAGCACATAGGCAGCTCTGCCAGCAGCAGGAGGACATGGTCATGAGCACCAGGAGGAAGTGGAGTGGCAGACCAGGCCACAGTGGGAATTTTGTCGGGACAGAGATAACAGTCCAAAACCACCAAGTCACCTGCAGTCGTCTGGGACACAGAAGGGAGGACATTCACAGCCGTGGCCATCCAGAGGGGACAGGAACCAGCATCAGCACCACAGCCACAACCCTGCTTTGCCAGGAGGGAGAAGGGGTGAAAACCTTCCGCTGATTTTGGAGTCTGTGTCTCACTTCCTATTACTCATTGTCACCACACACCATTGCTGCTGCTGTCCCAGCCACCACAGTAATAGACAGCCTCGTCCTCGGCTTGGACCCCAGTGATGGTTAATGTGCTTGTGAAGCCAGACTTGGTTCCGGAGAATCACGAAGGGATGTCTGAGGGTCTCTGGTTGTTGTAGTAGATCACAGTGACTGGGACACTGCAGGGACCTTCTGCTGGAACCAGCCAACAGCATAGCCGCTGCTAAGCCCGGAGCAGGTGATCTGGGCGGTTTCTCCCAGGTTCACTGACACCGAGGGTGGCTGAGTCAGCGCTGCCTGGACCAGGGAACCTGCAGAGGGAGAGGAGAGAGGGAGGGGGCCATATAGTGCCCACCAAAAGCACCAGGATCACGCTGGGCTGCCTGCTCCCTGGGCCTTGCAAGCTGGGAAAACCGGGTCCTGCTTCAGCCCAGGGCACCACAGCTGGGTTTCTCTCAGGAGCCACAAGACTGTGACCGGCTGGATCGAGGTGTCTGGGCAAGAGCTCCTGGACTCTGGCTTTGGCAAATACAACTTAGCCAAGGCACATGCCAAGGGATGGCAGAAACACTTTGCTACCCTGCCTCGCTACGCACCCTCTGCAACCGCCTCAGCCCATCTGCGACCCTGGCATCACCCACACACCCACCCTGAGAGCATCCCTGTGCAGCAGCACAGCTCCTCCAGCCACGCTCCCCTTCCCCTCCCGACACGGGCACTTCTCCGCAGGGCTCCGCACCCGGCCCAGAACCCTGCCCGCAGCGCAGACCCACGGCACGCCAGTGCTTCGAGGCCTCCTGGGCCCGGGTGGGGATCGCTCCGGCAGCACGGGCGCTCCTGCTTCCCCACAGCACCGTGGGCACGAGGAGAAGCGCTCTGGACTCTGCCAAGTCCTGCTGGTTCTGCAGCTTCAGGGCAAATGCCCAGCTGGCCCAGCTCCACCGCACCACCCACAGCTCTCCACAGCGGCCTTCCCAGACCTGCCTCCTCCTCTCCGTGCTGTCCCAGGCTCTGAAGAGTCCCCTGTGTCTCTGACAGCTCCTGAAGGTTTTCAGGGCTGCGTCTCAGGAAGCAAACTGCAGGTTTCAGCCCTCAGAGAGCCCGCTCAGACTAAATTCCAGCTCCTCATCACCTTTTAGAGGCATAATGAATAGGACCCAGACACACAAAGGCAGGGATTTATTATTCTATGTTCATTTCACAACAGAGGGTCAATGCCAAGCTACCACCACCCTCTGCGACTACCTTATGCCAGGAATACAGCAGGCCCTCCTTACACACAGGATATTTTCCACAGGCCTCTTTCTGTTAATCCACAGTTTCTTCTGTCACAAGTTCTGGTTGGGAACCAAGGCTAACAGGTTTTCTGGGTGTTGGATTTTTTTTTTTAACAAGCTCATAAGCAATAAAGCCTTGTGGTGCCTTTACAGTCCAGCATGCCACAGCAGCAGCACCCCCCCGTGGCCTGCCTCCGCCTACACTTGGCTAGAAAGAGAAGGAATGCAAGGCGGTCAGAAGTCCGCAAGCCAGTCTGAACTTAATTCAGTACTTCTTGAACTCCATTCTTTCTACGTTCACATCACCCTCAATTAGTTGGTATACATAAGTCACAACTGTGGAAGCCTGCATATCCGTCAGCACAAATGAAGGGAGGATGTTCCTGGAAAGAAAGCATACTTTGCTGATCTTCCCAATTAGATTACACTCTTGCTATTAACATACTTTATGCTTATGTGTTCTAATACGCTTGGTTGCCAAAGGCTGGAGGGATCTGGAAACACTGCAGCTGGCAGGCACTGACAACAGCGTCCCAGGCACAGTTGCACGTAGCCTCGAACAGCCCTTGAGGCTGCGGAACACAGACTTACAGAACAGTAGGGGTTGGAAGGGACCTCTGTGGATGATCTAGTCCAACCCCCGTGCCAAAGCAGGAGAGAGGCTCCAGTCCCCTCATCATTCTTGTACCCCTCCACTGACTCTCTCCAATAGCTCCTCAACTCAACAGCCGAAGTCGTGTCAGGCTCAGACATCTAAGCTGACAGTGCCTTCAGAAGTCTGAATTCCTACAAAATACTAGCATGCAGCTTCTGGGAAGACCCTAAACACCAAGACTACTTCAAGAAGCTGCTGGAATGCGCCCCTCTCAGGGCCCAAGAAGCAGCCCCAGACACACTAGTGCCGGGCCGTTGTGCCCAACATGGGGGCTAAGTAAAACCCTAGTAAGGGGGAAGCCCCACTGCATTCCCCGGCAAGGGACAGAGCTGGCTTCCTGCGCCTCACGGCACCTCGCCAACAGGGTAGCCAGACACTTGGGCATACACTTCGGGTATGCCTACAGGCTCTGCTGCACCGGGCAGCTCAGGGACCCCATCACTCATGGTTCCAAAGCACTGCAGGCTCCTGTAGCTGATCCCGGGTTGGTGTAGAATTTGTTTTCACGTTGAAATGTTTCAGATCTCTGTGTGTGCATCCCGACATGAGGATGTCCACGTCCAGCTGCCTCTGCAGCAGTGCCAGCCTGGCCACATCGCCCCAGGGAATAACTTGATGGCCACGAATCAGCCCGATTCTGAACTGCCCGACAGTTACAACCTTCTCTTCAGGATAATTCAGGCTCCGAGAAGGAGAAAGGCATAGCCTATAAATCAGCCAAAGACACCTTGCCTACGCAATGTATACTCCTATGTTCCAAGACACAGACCTCTCTTTGCTATTCGAGGGTACAAGGTCTCTTCCCAGGTGCGGACCCGCTGGATGCCTGTACCACACCCCAGCAAGAGCAACTGCCGAGCAAAGAGCAGGGAATTTGCACAGAGATCATGAGCCTCAAGCCTACTCAACAGTAAATAAACACACACACAAGTCCCCAGTTCCGGCAACGACACAGCCAGCTGGGGGACTCCAGTGGCCTCACAGCAATCACGAACGGACTTGTGCCAGAGTTCATACGAATCAAGCGCACGTATTGCCCCCCCCCACAGACACACACCCCCAGTCCCCCTGCTGCAAGTGCAACAAGAAGGGTCTGGTAAAGAAGTTTGTTTCTTCAGTCTTACTTTTCCCTACTTCCCATCCTCGTGAACAACGGTTTGGGAATTGCTAATGCTGAAGGACTCCCCAGTTTTCACGGGAACAGCCGCAGCACGCGGGAAGGTGGGCTGAGGAATTCACAGCAGCAAGAACATTACCTCTGAGTCCCCCCTAACAACATGCATGTCCCCAGCCAGGGTCCTGAGGCAGTCACAGTTCTCCTTGCTGCACAGGTTCCCTATACACAAGGTGTGCTGAACCTTTCCCGGAACCAGCAGCTCGCTGAACTCCACCGGCAGACCACCGCAGCGGTGGCAGCTGTGAAGGTCCCCCAACGCTAACACCAACTTCAGGCACAGCAGGAGGACAGAGCGAGCTTTAGCCCAGGTTACTTCGCAGAACAGCACAAACCCTTTCCGCCGCTGCAGGGCACGCGCAAAGCCTGGCAAAGCACTGCAGGCCCAGCAGGGATTCCTTTCAGGCTCAGCTTTGAGGAAACACCCCGCAGCGAGCCCGAGATGCCCCACGCAGGCAGCCCAGCCCGCTCCTGCCCGGGGAGAGCAGGCCGCTCTCCCTCCCGCACGCAGCCG